TTACCAAATATATATGTATATATATTTATAGATATGTACATGTGCTGAAAAAGAAGCCAGTGCAACCTTTTCTAAGAAGTCCATCCAAGTATTTACTGTACAACATTCAGAATTTACATTGATAATACAAGGCACAAAAAGTGTGGTATGAAGCCAAGGCCATGCTGTATTGACACTTTCTCTGGCGTGCTCAATCCTTCAGCTTCATGTCAAATTAAGTGTTCAGCCCTGCTTTTTTTTCTTTTCTTTTTTTTTTTTTGGCTTTGAACACATCAAATAAAAGTTGAGAGTGGTATGGGTTTGAGATATGAATCACTTGTAAGAATGCCCCCACCTACCTTCCCCAAAAACAGAACATAATGAAGAAGTCTGTTTTAAAATTCTTTCATACAGAAATAAAGTTTAAACAACTACTCATATTTTCTGAGTTTGGGCCAGGAAAGTAAGCCAGTTTTCCTCTAAATGCTTTTGTTTGTAATATCTCTAGGTCGAGACTTAATTGGAGTGCATGGGCCAATCAGAAGGGATTATGAAGAATGGGAGATTCTGAGTCTTTATTCCAATTTTGAAAAGGAGAACATTATTTTCCTGACCACAAAATTCCCCCAGGCTGAGTGTTTTCCCACCTTCTTATAGACAAGTTTTGAATGCAGTGACCTATCTAATCTAGGATACACCCTGGCGAGGGTTTTTGATTGCCAGTTTTCCCTTACCCACTGATGAGGCTTAGATTGCTGCCTCCTGGTACAGGGTGATCTCCCTCTCAGCATCATCAGAGATGGCTAATGGAGGGATATTAGAATTATTAGATCTATTTCTGATTGTCATGTTGTATGCTTCAGTAATGGGATCATAAGGCATGACACTTTGCTTATGAACTCCCCTCAAACATCATCTCTCCCTTTTATGATTCACAGGAACTGTACTTAAATCTCTACCTAACATAGATATTACATTTTAAGAAAATTGTATAATTTAGCCAATGTGGGAATTTGTGTATAAACAATGCTTGAAATCAGTGAAACACTTTTTTAGGGTTAGCAAAATTGGAAGCAATAGGGCATTTTGCACTGTAATCATTCATGCCTTTCGTAAAAGCATTTTGACACGCATTTCCATTCGTGCAAAGAACGATATTGCCAAATTTAGTGATATATTCTATAATTCAAAGCTATAACTTTTTTGGGAAAAAACGATATACCCCTGCTGGACTCAGTATTAGGGATGGGGAAGGAAGTGTTTAAGCTTAGGCCTAACCACGAAGCTGACTGCCTTGTTAATCTTTGGGTTAGGAGGGAGGGTGGGTTCCAAGACATGAAGGTTAAATGCTACTGCCTTAGGCTCACCTCGTAAGGACATTCTGAATCCATGATCCTCACAGCAAAAGGAAAAAGCAATGAGTAGCTGCTTCAAAAACCACAATTATTCTATGTGAGTTAAATTTCCTACTTCAGATCACGGCACTACACACTAGTGACTAACGGCCAGGTCTGATTTTCATCCCCTTTTGCAAAGTTACAGCACACAAGTTGCCGTTTCAATTTTGTCAATTATCCTGCAGTTAGGGATGTGACGAGTCCACGGTAGACACTGGCTTTCCTAGAATTGCTTTTGCGAAAACACCACATGCTGTTCAATACAGCCAAACAGCTTTGTAACTGCAGCTTTCGAAAGAGTTTGGAAAGGAAAAACACAAAATATGCAACACGTCTAAGATTAGTAACATCTTTCACTTTTGTGACATTTGACAAAATACATTTTTGCTCGTAGTTCAGGAAAATTCTATGCAGACGAAACAGTGGAAACTACGGAAACGGTGGCCATTTGGCTTTTGGCTAAAGCATCGATTTTCAAATACAGCACTATGGCAACTAACACCAAAGGGCTAATAGAATTTTGTCACTCTCTGTAGGCCGACGTTTTTGCTCCCCCATTCGCTGTGGCTGTCGCCTCTAGTCCAGTCAATGGGGAGTTACTAAGGATTCAAACTCTGCAATGTTTCATGAGGAAACAATGACAATGAGCAGGAGAGGAACGTTTCTCAGCTCCTTGGGGACTCCTGTGCCCTTTCCAGAGCTGGAACGAAGAACCTCAGCGAGAACTTTGCCTTCCACACATCTGACAGCTATATCATTAAACACATTTACAGAGGGCAGAAGGACTAAGAAATCAAAGAGGAAATGGCTAAAATGGAAAACAAAAGCGTATCAAAAGATTTTGTAACATTCTGAAATTCACAGGTAAATTTGCCAGAAGTTTGGCAAGTGGAGAATTCTATCTAAAACCAATTATACCATTTGAATATTCTACCTTTGCTTATCAATCCTGAAGTTGAGACTTTTTGTCAAGCATTGAAATCCGAAACTTTTAATCCAAAGAGAACCCTGTTTTAGTGATTTGACTTAATATCCCTTCTCAAAGCCAACTGAAAGAAAAATATACACACCACGGCGAAGGACAACACTTGTAATTGGAGATAAAAATAATTTTAAAAAAAGAAAAGTTCCCCTTTTTAAAGGGAATTCCTTTTCATCTCTTAACAAAAAGGCCAATGAAATTTTTGTGGGAGTATATCTGAGTTTTATGAGGCTTCCTGCACCAGTAAATGAAGTTTGCATTTAAATCCATAGAGCAAGCTTCCTTATGGCTTAAAGGATTTTAATGTAAACCTGTAAGATTGCACAAGCAATGCTGTAAAAACTGTAAATTAACTTTATGATGCTGCAGTCGGGTGCAGCTGTGAAGTGCACCATTTTGGTGGCATAATTTTAAGTCCTGTTTAAAGCATGACTATTAGACTTAAATGTCTTTGAAGACTCAAAGATCTGGCATTAAGTGGGCTATTTTGTAAAAATTTTAAGTTTCTTAGCAAGTACTCAAGGGTACTTTTAATTTTTGCTTAATTTTGCACTAGGACTATAAGACTTCCAAATTAAGCGCTTGGACAGATGAGTAAATCTTTTAAGAGAGTTATTTGTATTGTGATAGGCATATGTTATAATAGAACAAAGGAATGAAGTTTAGGTTATAGTGAATAACCACAAGTTCAAGTGTGACCTAAGTCTTCATCTAATCTGCAAAAAATTTCTACCTCCTCATATGTACGTCTTGGTCTATAAACCTCACAAACGGGTTCTCTTTGAAATTCTATTGTAAAATACTGCACAATTCTGACATGCAATGGCCACAGAATTTCATACACTTCTATAGAAATCCCATTTAGGATCTTAGCAGAAATAAGTAAGAGAGAAATGTAAAGAGGGAACCAAATGCACTGAAATACGGATTTGATTAAACCTTGGGCTGAAATCCGAGATAAATCATGCTAACTTCTTCCTCTGTTGCTCTACATGCTATGATGTTCAAGTGCCTTTATAAAACCCAGGCCCAAAACAAAACAACAGAACAAAATCCATGGGAGAAAATTCCAGACATTCGGGGATTGACAATAATTTCATCTTAAAATAATCTAGATAGATTTTAGGGAAAATCGTTTACATTTTTCATCTGTTTTAAAATATTAAAAAATGTATCCAACATCTGAAAAAGACCTGTGTGGATTCACAGAATAGATGAAACAATTCTAAGGTCAATTAGAAGGAAAGGGGAAAAATGGGTAGGATGGTTTAAAACAAAAATCCTCCAAGATGGATACTAACGTAAACTCCGTAATGTGTTTTCTACAAGTTATTATTCAACAGTTAATGCAGATTCCTTCTGTATAGCATCCTGTGCCAACTAACCTCTAGTTTACTGCCACTGACCATCTACTTCCACCTCTTTCTCTTTCAGAAATTATGTCAGTGATGTCAAATGATTTACATTTTTATGCTGTCCCTCTATTGTTCCCTAGAAGGAATAAACAAGTCGAACACACTAGCGGAAGGGTGATTTTCTGATCTTGATATGGTACTTTGAAAATATGCTTGCCAGTTCTAAGATGATTGGTTTGTTCTATATAATAAGCCTTTGGTTCCTGAGAAAAGCAAGATGCTCTTGAATTACATGTAGCAAAGCCTTCTAATACAGGGGACCGTATATACCACACATTAGTTAGAGAAAATGGCCAACACATTCAAGAGTTCTTCAATGCCTTATCCATGGTATCGTTCATTCAACCTGTCTCTAGGTCTTTTTCACTTGGGTGGAGATTCACAACATTCGTTTTCTTTCTTTCTTTTTAACAAGGGTCTATAAAAAATGTTTTTTAAAAAATGCTCATATCCCCACTGCCAAGTACACCCCACCTCCCTCATTCCCTAACTCCTTTTACTTTATTCCAATGTAACCGACCTCTAAGTAGCTGATTAGCTGCCTTGTAGTTAATCTAGTCCTTGACTTTGGTCGTCCTGATTGTGGGCAGCTAATTAAAACATCCACCGCAAAATGAGCAGGAGTATATGTGTTCATCTTTAGCCTGCCAGGACATCTTGTCAAAAATGATTTAGTAGGATAAAAAAGATGAAGTGTTAAGATGAGGGTCACAAACTGTCTGTGGATTTCGATGCTCCACAATAGCACTTCTTCCTAATTTTAAAAAGAGTCATAAAGCAATAGCCAGATGTGAATGGTTTTACAGAGAAAGCATACTCAGTGAGGCTGAGAAGTAGGAGCCTGAAGGCTCCCTGAATGATGCCTATGGTTTCTGGGACATGGTGGCAGAGGTATTCCTCGAGTCTATTTACTTGGATACCATTTAGAGCAAAGACTATCTGCTAATTTCTCAAGAGGCAGAGGAGGATGACCTATACCCCTACTGAGAGATTCTGTAATGACATAGTACCAAAAGGCTAGGAAATTTCAAGAATCTGGATTGCGAAGTACAGAAGTCCTCATTCCCTTATAACAATGTTGGAGAACTAGATCAACACCTGTCTCCCAGCATTACAGTGTATTGGAGGTCTGTGACATCTGCATTTCGTGTATCTCCTTAGACCTGATCTGACCTCTCCTGTCTCCAAATCCATGCAACAAGCTGTGTTCTAATAACATTCTTCCATTTGAGTGGCTTATGTGAGAACAGAGGTGGTCCAACTTTGTTGAGTTAGAAGAAATACGTTTCCATATTGACAGGTCTAGTTCCTTGAAACCTCTCTACTGTAATGGATAAGGAAGAGGAAGAAAGAATATGGGTAGAATTGTCTCTGGGGAAGAAAATGAAGGTGGGGTGCTCTACAAGAACTAGTTTGTGGTCTATCTTACCTCTTCATCTTGTCTCCAGTAAGTGGCTAGGAGAGACAGGGAATTGGTGCTGGTGTGAATTGGTACTCAGATCCTACATTCTAAATGCCCTCCTTGACGTTGCTGAAATTATACAAATGGGTTAGCAACCCCATTTCACTTCTAACATGATTCCTGATATCCCAGATGCCAGTTGGTAGCAAACTCTGATAATTTGGTACCAGAATCAGCTGGCTTTTGTGGGGCACATCATTAAAAACCTGTTTTAAAACATGCACTCGATCAGTCATCTGCCTTCCCAGCTTTATTGTAGCTCATTTTCTCCCACAGCTACTTTTAGATATATGCCCTCACTATCATTCTCGCCACTCCAGATCTGAGGAGTGCAACCAGTGTTAACCCGAGTGTGGGTTCAAGGAGACAGCAGAGCCCTCTTATATCTAAGAGAGCTTATACTCTTCCCTATTGACACGTTTTACTTATACAAAATTCAGTTTCTTCCACCAGGGAATCTCACTGATCGTAAATGAAGGCTGAATTCCCCAAATGCCACTGGGCACAAAACTGCCTCTTTCTTTGCCATTTAAAGAAATGTCCCAAAGCTGACCATCACTCTGTCTCCTGGGAGGAGGTGGACTAGAGTCCGTTTTGCCTGCTGTAGTTGAAGTCGGCTTCATCGAGCTGGGATTCCGTAATGTTTGAGAGTTTCGTGTGTGTCCTCCCAATCTCTTCAAGGGCACAGGCCAGGGAGTCAAGGTCACCATCATGCTGATGACGAGCTTCCCACAGGTTCAAAATGACAGCAGACGGGCTGCTTTGTGTAGCAAAGTAAGATAAATTCCTAGGTAGAGTTGAACAAAAAGAAGAACAAAACAAACATGAAAATGAAAGAATAAATAAAGATCACAATGGGGGGATTTAAAATGAATTTAAATAGATATTATTACAATGGGGTAAAAGGCAACGGCACTAAGACAGCTCTGGGGTGGTCTAGTTTGTATCCCAGCCCTCAGCTGAAACTGTACTTTGGAGTGTTGCCAATGACCTTCTTATCCTAGTCTTGGTGCTCACCTTCCTGAGCTGTTTGTACGTGTGTGTGTGTGTGTGTGTGTTCCCATCTTGATCTTTCCCTTGAAACACTCTATCTCATTAGTTTGTGCGATGACGTAATTTCATTCCTTTTTTTTTTTTTTTTCCAAAATATTTGACCCCTCTTCTCCCTTGGTAAACGTAAGGGCTTTCAAGATTTTATCTTTGATTTCTGGTTCTTGTTTCCTTCCTCGGTAGGCTCAGGTACTACATAGAGTAGTTATCAGCTCCAGGGGGATAGTGTCTGCGTTCACACCTCCAACCATACAGGTTCATGTGGGCTAGTTATGGGTCTCTATGTGACCTTGGGGTTGCCCTGGTTAGATCTCCCTGCACTTCCTCAGACTCAATCAGCAGAAACTAGTATCATCTCCATGCCTCCAAAGTGCCCCCTTCGAACTAGAACGAGTACCCCAGTATTGACAACTGTCTTTCTAATCTCTTACACTAGGACATCTGTTTTTGACCCTTGCTTTTATGTTGTTTCTTCCCTTTTGGCATACTCATCAGCTTCTCCCTTCCTTTCTATTTTTACTACTTATACTAATTTATTTATATTCTATTGCTGTATCGCCTGAATCACAGCAAAAGCCTTAGAGCTTCTCCAAACTCAGAGCCTGCATTCTATTTCCTCAACTCAATCGTAAGATACCTAGTCTACTTATTTTCTTCTTTTTTTTGGAACACAGAGTCTGTCTCCTGGGTTAGAGTGCAGTGGCATCATCACAGCTCACTGCAACCTCAAACTCCTGGGCTCAAGCCATCTTCCTGCCTCAGCGTTTGGAGTAGCTGGGACTATAGGCGTGCACTACCATGCCCAGTTGTTTTTTCTAATTTTTGTAGAGAGGTGGTCTCTCTCTTGCTCGGGCTTGTCTCGAACTCCTGGCCTCAAGCAGCCCTCCTGCCTTGGCCTCCCAAAGTGCTAGGATTATAGGTGTGAGTCACTGTGCCTGGTTTCTAGTTGTTTTTAGTGCCTTCCTTGGTCTGGCCTGAACCTAGCTATGGAGATTATATATATACTACCCCCCGCCCACCACCCCCTCAGTCTTCTTTTGCTCTTTGAGCCATTGACCCTGACTTAGGTAATACTTTGCTTCTTGCTTTCATTTAATTTATTCTGTTCACCTGAAACATCCAATTCCTCCCTTTACCCTGTTTATCAAGATCATGCATTCCTACAATGCATGGCTCAATTCTCATCTCCTTTTCTTTAAAATGATTTATGTCTTCTCTGAACTCTTTTTACGCTTTTGCTTAAACTTTCATGTGAATAAAATGCTTATGTTATTTCTTGTGTGTATGTGAGCTCTGCCTTCCCAATTTGACCACAAATACCTGAAAGGCAAGGATCACATCTAATAATTTCCTAAATCTGCTACAGCACTTATCATAATACTATGACAGGTGTTTATTCAACATCCATCAGCTGAGTGACTGGTTCCTACAAGCCTTTTTCAGATGATACGGTATCTTCCGTGAAAAATGCTAACCTTTTGGTCAATAGCTTTGCTATGATGAAGACTAAGACAACACAAAGGATTAAAGGTCACTGTTTTCATAGGGACATTTATAGTAAGGATAGAAATGTCATCGCTGGTAAAATTCTGATGAGTTGAAAAGATTTTCCAGAGTCAAGCAAGTATTGCCTATTGAGGACGGTATTAATTTCCATCACCATACCCTGCATATAAGCACAGAAAGTGGAGTCACAGAGATCTCAGCAGAGAAGACAGGATTCTAAGGGCACATTATCATTTACAAGCACTACCTATACACACACACACGTGCATGCCCAGCAATTCTGAGTGAATAAAGTCCTATTTTGTTCAAAGGCTTTAGAGAATGCGTATAGCCAGCTGGTTGCCAAATAGCATTAATATTGGGGTACTACATATACTTCCTACTACGTAGGAATCTTTAATTGAGAAAGGGACAAGGCCAACTTAAAACCATTCTAAATTCTTCTTTCTTTCATTCCGTCCCTTTTTTAATAGTCATTCATTTCTACACTAGCAGAGATAATGAAGCAAACCTTGCTTGAGTAGAGGAAGGGATCTTAGTTCCTCTTGTTACAGATCTTTGTTGTGAATATTGTGGAGATGTTTGTAGGGAAAGTTGCTGTACCTCCCTCCAACCCCCTACCCGGCATTCTGGCAGAACACACTGAAGGAATAGCTGGGATAGAGTCAGACTGAGAGACAAGGTCTGAGTGGACACTGGGTGGTCTGTGTGACGATGTCTTTTCACATCCATTATGAGAATGATGACATGGACACTCCTTTGTGTCTGGCGGGGTAAATCTTTATAGTCTCCATCGTCATTTCAAAAACCACCACTACAACAATGTTAACAGCACTAGCTTTCTCCTGATTTTATGAGGATTTATATTTTGTATTTTCTATTGAACTACAATGGACTTACGCCTTGTGGGAATGACTGGAATCCTGGTGACCCCAAAGTTAGACCCTCTATTCTATACCAGGGGTTGACACACTTTGTCTGTAAAGGGCCAGACAGTAAATGCTTTTGGCTTTGGGGGCCACATATGGTCTCTGTTGCTGCTGCTACTCCGCTCCGCCATGGTGGTGCAAAACAGCTTCAGGCAGCACATAAGTGAGCGTGGCTGGGCTCCAGTAAAAGTTTATGTAGCACACGGATGTTTGACTGTCATACAGTTTTCATGTGTCGCACAATATTGCTCTTATTTTGACTTTTTTTCTGACCATTTAAAAATGCAAAAGCCATCCTTGTGGGCTACAGAAAAATATGTAGCGGGACAGATTTGGCCAATCTATAGGCCATTGTGTTCTAGCCCTGTCTTACACTGTGTTATGATTCAAACTAGATTTCCATAGCTAATAGCTATTTAAAAGATTAGGCTGAAGTTCCTACTTTGTGCTACATTTGAAAATAAGCACCTAGATGGCCCAAACTGCTAAATCCCAAACTGTACGTCCTGCCTCAAGGACTCTGAGAGCTTTATCCTCTGTTTGGGGATCTTTGACATTTCAAGGCATGACAGGAAGACCTGGACATAAAAATGCAGTAATAAAACTTCTCAAGAGGCAGAAACAGGAGGAGGTTCTGATGAATCACTGTCCCAACACAACATTAAAAATATTTGTGAGTACACCTGCCTAGAGGAGGGCTGGAGAATGACTCCTGCCAGCCACGTGGTTCTGAAAAGTCCTGCAAATGTCCTGATTTGTGGGATGGGCACCCAGGGCTAAAGGAAGCTCAATGATCAAGAGAGGCAGAAATATAACTCTCACTTGGCACAGGTCTCGGAACATATTGCAGCAAGTGAGATGTGCTCCCCAAAGCAAGTTTGAGATTTATTCTTCTTTATTTATTCACATTCAGCAGAACATAAACAAATCTCAAATTCCACTTAGTACACACATAGAGGAAGCATATCAGCCTTATTAAAAATAATACAATCAGCTTTGGGATTAGTAAATATACTATTCAACTACACTTACCTGTCTGTAACAGAATAATATATAAAAATCCCTAAAATCCTAATGCAATAGGCTGTTCCCTAAAGACGGTAGAATTATTTTACTGTTCACATGTGTGCAAATGCATTGTGATTTTTTTTTTTTTGAAAATAAGTGTGCCATATATCCATTTGGTCATCTCTGTACCACCCTTGTGAAATTATTCTGATTCCAATCCGGGTGACCCATTTCTTTTCATAATAATGCTGGTGCATTTGGGTATCAGCAGGAAAATGCAGACATAATTCAGGGAACATTGTTAACATAGTACTACAAAATAGAATTCACAGCAATAGTTGATTTTAAGCAATTTCCTGAGTGTCTTTAATCTTTTTTTTGGGGCGGGGGGGAAATGAAACCAGAATATTAACAAAAACAGTAATCCTAAACATTCAGGTTGATGCCTGAAAATGAAACTACTTTTTTCTGTGTCTTTGAGAAATTTTTAAAGAAACAAATGTTTATTATGCTGATCTTAGATGCTTCAAATTGTTACTTTTCTATGCACAGAACTTCAGGGAAACTTTTTATCATTTTCAAATTCTGATCAACTAAGGTTAATTTTGAAAACTTTTTATGGTGTCATGAAGATGTTATATACTGTGCAGATAAAATGATCTAATCTCTAAAGTTTAGGAATTTACTGTAGAATCATTCAGTGTCTTCAATTCATTTGCCCTAAGTTCTATGGACCCAATGACTTCATCTTTTCCTTCGTAAATCAGAGTACAGATAAACTGCAAAATACAGACAAGCAGATGAAAGCTTATGCTAAGACAGTTGAATACTTTTATCCATTTAAGTTCATTGAGTGCTAATGGTTTATTAAATTTAATTTTGTTTTGTTGAGTCTAAATGCTTTCTATACACCTGAGTTCCCGGGAGTTTATTTTATTACCATGATTAATTTCATCTTTCAGAGACTTCTGTATCCTCATCCCCAGGCCCCAATTAAATTCCCATGCTTTCTGTGGAAGCCAGGGCAGAATAGGAAACATGAATCTAGTTTACCAATTTTACTAGCTAGACACAGGCCAGTTTATAATGATGTATATGGGTCAAACACTGAATTTTTATATAGACTCTTAATTTCAAAATATATCGTCCAACTAATAACCTCGTTAAACTAACGATGGAATTTGAATTAGAGGTGAGGATTTTTGGAAATAGTTTATTGTGCCTTCTATTTTCTTTTTGGGGTATAAAGAGGGGAGAGAATTGAGGGGCAATGATAAAATTCTGCTTTATAGGG